AGAAAGGGAAAATATGTGAAAAATTCTGAAGATACTCCGAATGTCAAAGACGCTCTTGAGTCTATTCCAGTTTCAACAAAAAGAACTTTTTGATATGTGCCAAAGTCCGAAAGGAAACTGGGGGCAAAGGCTCTAGCCCCAATAAATCCAATTTTGGATCTCAAGGGTGAGTTCACGTTGCCCTTAAGGAGGACAAAATGCACTTTTGTGGAGAAATATAATAAGATTATGGTCCCTTCTAAAGGAAAAGGGTCGAGATCCATCATATTCCACTCATTTGGAGATGTTGAACATAAAGTGAAAGTTGAACAAGTGCCAGAAGAAAACATCTCGAGTTTTGAGAAGCCTACCTTTAGTGCAGAAATTACACAGATGTTGGTAAGAGTTGGTTTAGATCCTGAAAAAATACCAAGAACAATGACACCTTTTGACTTTGCATTAACACCTTCGCAGAGGCAGGCTATCCAGCAAGACGGTATTATCACCGCTAAGATAGAAGGGTTAGGATATCAAGGGGATGAGAAAAAATTTCTAGTAAACATGACTATCACTCAAGATGTGTTCGAAAATGTTGACTAAGATGAAACTCAACCTGCACCAACAGAATTTGAAGCAGGAGGCCAAGCCACCATGGATGACCTTCGTGAAGTAAATCTAGGTAATGAATGAGAAAACAAACCAACCTTCATTAGTGCAAATTTAAAGGAGGAAGAAGCTCGGCAATATATTTCCTTCTTAAAGAAGTATCGTGACATATTCGCATGGAACTACAGTGAGATGCCTGGTCTTAATCTAGAGATTGCAGTCCATAAGCTTGCAATTCACCCTGAGAAATGGCCAGTTAAACAGCCTCAGAAGCGAACTCGACCAGAGCTTACAGCCTAAATTGAAGCTGAAGTGGACAAGCTTATCAATACAGGATTCATCAGCGAAGTCAACTATCCAACCTGGCTAGCAAACATAGTGCCGGTCAAGAAAAAGAATGGTCAAATCAGGGTTTGTATTGATTTTCGTGATCTTAATGAGCCTTGTCCTAAAGATGACTTTTCCTTGCCCATCACTGAACTTTTCGTAGATGCAACTACTGGGTATGAAACCTTGTCTTTTATGGATGGATACTCAAGATACAATCAAATCCGAATGGCACCTGAAGATGAATAAATGACTACATTCAGGACTCTGAGAGGAGTCTTTTACTATAAGGTAATGCCGTTTGGCCTGAAAAATGCTGGGGCCACGTATCAAAGGGCAATGACTGTAATGTTCGGTGATATGCTGCATGACACCATTGAATGTATGTTGATGATCTTGTTGTCAAGATAAAGGAGAAAGAAAACCATGTGGAAGATTTGAGAAGAATCTTCGAACATTTGAGGAGATACAAACTCAAGATGGACACACTAAAATGTGCATTTGGAGTTTTCTCAGGACAATTTCTAGGGTTTGTGGTTTGAAATGAAGGGATTGAAATTGACCTTACTAAGATTAAAGTCATTGCTGAAATGCCTCTTCCACGAAATTTAAGGGAATTGAAGGGGCTACAAGGGAGATTGGCCTATATCAGAAGATTTATTTCTAACTTGGTTGGTCGATGCTTGGCATTCTTAAGATTGATGAAAAAGGGTGTTCCATTTGAGTGGGATCATCAATGCCAAAATGCTTTTAATAGTATTAAGGAGTATCTTTTGAAGCCTCTAGTACTCATGAGCCCAATAAAAGAGAAACCACTTTTGTTGTACATAACAGCCCTAGATGGTTCGTTAGAGACACTGTTGGCACAACACAATGAGCATGGGAAAGAAAATGCCTTGTATTACTTGAGTCGTACTCTGGTTGGGACAGAAGTTAATTATTCTCCTATCGAAAAGACATGTCTTGCCTTGGTGTTCGCCTAGCAAAAACTAAAGCACTATGTCCTGGAACACGAATTCAAGTTGATATCAAGAGCAGACCCCTTGAAATATATACTTTCATGGCCTATACTTTCAAGAAAAATTGCAAAGTGGGTTGTAATTCTCCAACAATTCGCAATTGAAAATGTTCCCCAAAGAGTTGTCAAGGGGCAGACTCTAGCAGATTTTTTGGCAGCACATCCTATACCTGATGACTCACCTCTAGTAACTAATTTACCAGATGAAGAGGTTATGCAAGTAGAAATCTAGAAAGGATGGGAGATGTATTTTGATGGAGCTTCAAGGAGTCCAGATGGCAAGAAGCAAGAAAATCCTAAAAACAATAAAGCTGGAATTAGAATTGTGTTTGTGACTCTAGACAATGCTATAATCACCTATTCTTTCGCCTTAAGTGAAGGATGCTCCAATAATGAGGCAGTATATGAAGCTGTAATTGCTAGATTAGAATTGGCATTACAAATTCCTATTGAAGAACTCTTAATTTATAGAGATTCAAAACTGGTGATAAAGCAACTCCGTGGAGAATACATTGTTAAGAAAACAAGTCTCATCCCATATCATGAAAGGGCTGATCAATTGCTTTCGCAATTCAGGAAAACACATATTTTCCATGTGAAGAGAAGAACAAATGCTCGAGCTGATTCACTTACAAGTTTGGCTACATCATTGACCCTACCAGATAGCAAAACAATTGCTATCACGGTAGGGTGTTACAACCTTTAAAAGAAGTTTCTGACTTGGTTCCAATCTTGGTCGTCACCACGAAGCGAGAAAGCGAGGACGATTGTCGGGAACCATTCATAGCTTACCTTCAACATGGTAGGCTACCTGAAGATAAAGTAAAAAGAATTGAAGTGAGAATTAGGGCTACCAAATTCGTCCTGTGGAAAGATGGGTTATACAAAAGGTCTTTGGATGGAATATATATGCTGTGTATAGCCAAAGAGCGTATTCAAGAGGTAATGGCAGAAATACATGCAGGTGTATATGGGGCACACCAAAGTGGTCCTAAATTACATATGCAGCTAAAATGGTTGGGATACTATTGACCGACTATGATTACAGATTGCATAGATTATGCTCGAAGATGCCAAGTCTGCCAATTCCATGGGAACTCTCTCCACCAACCCCTAGAGCCTTTACATTTAACAACTTGTTCTTGGCCATTTGCAACATGGGGTATGGACATTATTGGTCCTTTTGTACCTCCATCTTCAGCAAGATATCGATACATCCTAGCTGAAACTGACTATTTCTCAAAATGGGTAGAGGCCGTGGCTTTAAAGGATATAAAAAGCACAGTTGTCTCTGAGTTCATCCGAACCCGTATCATTTACAGGTTCGGGATTCCAAAAAGTATCATCATGGATAATGGACAGCCATTCAGGAGTGATGCTTTGAACAAGGTATTTGCTAAGTACAAAATCAAAAACAACCATTCATCAGGATATCATGCACCTACCAAAAGCTTTCAACAAGACATTGTGCAAAATCAGAAGATGAAAGTGCGAGAGTGAGGTTGGCTGAACTCGAGACCCTAGATGAAAGAAGGTTGTATGCTTAACAGAATTTGGAGATCTACCAACAAAGGATGGAAAATGCGTTCAATAAAAGGTGAGGCTTCGCTCATTTAAAAAAGGAGACTTGGTACTAATGGTTAGAACACCTATAGTATTCTCACGAAGAACCAAAGGAAAGCTTGAGCCCAAATGGGAAAGACCTTATGAGATCGAGAAGGTTTATTCTTGTGACAACCCTCACCTCTGATTAATGTTAAACTATGATTGAGCATGATAGATAATTGATTATGATGAAATCCTGAACTGATTGTATGAGTGTGTTGTTTAGAATGCATTTTTATCTGTTGAACCACTGTATGATATGTTTGCGTTTTGATTTCGAATTGCAAATTGAAAGCCTTATCAGTGACCGATTCAGAGATTGATTAGTGTTTTACGCTAATTAGAATTTATATGATTTTATGGTAGGTTTAATTAAAATTTGATTAAATTAGAATTGTTGAAGTTAAATTACATCAATTTGAGTTATTTGCATTTATGCCATTGAGTGGATATTCCTAGGCTAACTCCTCCCCACTTCATATCACATTTGATGCATCATTTCTTCATCCATTTCTTAGACCAAAACTGAGAGAAAGAGGGAGAATAGGAGAAAATTTAGTCCAACGAGATTTTTGCTTAAGACTTAGAAGAAATTGAAGGAGCATTGCATGATTAGACCTCTTTACTTGAAATTCAAGACCTAAGGTAGGAAATTCATCTTCTTAATTGTGAATTTAAGTTGTTCTTGCATGATTCATGGGGAAATTGGTGTATAGAGTCAAGTATTGGCTTAAGGTGTTGGTTTAAGAATTAATTCATACATACATGTCCTTATTTTGGAGTTTAAGGTTGTTTTTAATGGAATTTCCACATGCATGTTCATATTTTGGTTGTGGTCCATGAATTCACCATGTTTTAGAGTTCAATCTTGCATTTGACCATGTTTTGGAGCATTAGAGTTCTTGAAAACTCATGCATGTTGTGTTCTTGCATTACTCTTCATGTTTCATGGGAAATTATGTTTAATTGTTACACCTTTGGGCTTAATTTTACAAAATGATCTTTGAAACATGTTGTATTATGGGTTTCTAAATGTTTTCTAGAAAATTAGCCCAGAAAAATTGAATTTGAAGCTTTGGAAGTTGAGTTTTATGGTTGAGGATCAATCTGAAAATTCTAGATTTTGGATCCACGCTCGAGCGGAGGACTTCATGCTCGAGCGTACACACTGAGTGCATGTACTTCCGCTCAAGCGTATAAAGTCACGCTCGAGCGTGAAATGCATATGCCCAGAAGTTCATGTGTTTTGCAGTCTACTCAAGCGAGATAATTCACGCTCGAGCAAGGATCTGAGTCTCACGCTCGAGCGAAGGTCGAACGTCCATCGAGCGTGAATATCTTGCAACCAGTACTTTTTTATGTGTTTTGCAGTCCGCTCGAGCGACGAAAGTCATGCTCGAGCGGAGCTTCATTGTCTGCATGTCCGCTCGAGCGTAGAAAGTCACGCTCGAGCGTGGACCCCTGTTTCAGCAAAATTTGAAAAGTATTTTAAAGTACATCTTTGCATCCTTATTTCATCCTAAGCATTCCTATGCCATATTTAAGGCATCTTAATGAGGATAATGTTATAGAACCACAACAAGTCAAGATAGAGACTAGTTATTCCCAAGTGTGTAACTTAGTGTGTGTTCATTCTGCAACTGTGTAGGGTTGGCATCCGAGGACGCTCATTAGCTTGCCTATAGCCCAGTACTTTGTGAGAACAATGTTGTAAAGATATGTTCAATTATGATTATTTTCTGAACGATTGACTGTACTACTTTCTGAAATAGTATTGCTTACTGAATGAATGTTTGTCCTATTTGTAAACTGGACTTATGGCATCCATAGCAACTTACTGTTACTGTTACTGCTAGTACTACTGCACTGTACTGTACTGCTACTGTCATAGAGATCTCTGTCGGTTCCAATATTTGGAATTAATACTGTATACTGTTTTGATGGCCATCAACTGACTGTTAGGTCTATTAAGACCTATTGTTTACTGTACTGTTTTGCTATGGGATGTACCACATATGACTACTATGGCTTCTCAATGACTGTTCTGACATGAACTGTTAGCCACTGATTGAATAATTGATCTATTGATGAAATTGACTATTTTGATTACTGAAAGGACATTCATTCTTAACCCCTTTACGCATTTGTTATTCATTGGGCTTTAGCTCACTGATTATATTTATATGTAGGTGTCCAGGCACCAGACCGAGGCTAGGAGCGTCGAGTTAAGCTCTCATTTTGTCAAGCCAACCATTGTGCCTCACTTCGAGGTTCCGAGTCTGTTCAAGCTAAAGCTGTTTTTGGGTATCTCAGTTTCACCCTTTTGTCTCCGTTTTGTAATTAGTGTTTAAGATTTGACTGTACAGTTATAGTTAGGGATTTGGACCCTAACCTGGATGTTTGTGTATATGACGTATGTATATATGTTTTGGTTTTGAATGTGGCTTGTTCATAAAAGTCTTTTTCCATACAGTTTTTCACAGCTCATTGGACATCTTTTATTTACTGTTTGGCTTCCGCCAGCCCCTTGCTCTGTATTACTGTCATTATTATTAAGTAGGCCTTTGGTAGTCATGGATTACTGGCCGGTTACAATACTAAACCCATAGGGGCACAACCAAGTCGTTGGGGGTGACGGATACAATCACTGCCAAGGAATCAAGCCGTTGGGGTGACAGACACAATCACTGTCAAGGAATCAAGCCGTTGGGTTAAAGGACACAATCACTGCCAAGGAATCAAGCCGTTGGGTGAAGGACACATTCACTGCCAAGGAATCAAGCCATTGGGGTGAAAGGACACAATCAATGCCAAGGATTCAAGCTACTCATTGCCATTAGGTTGGAAAGGGCAATGATACCTACAAACAAACTGTGACGCCTTGCGTGTTGCCTGCAAAAGAGATAAAAAAAGACATGAAATAATTAGTCATCGTGATTCGTACAATTAAAATTCACTTGCACGAATCATGAGGGGGCAGGCTTTGATTAGATTAGATTAGATTAGATTAGATTCAAAAAAAAAAAAATTTGTTCAATTGGGCCAATTACTAATACAAAATAAAATAAAAGGCACCAGGTTTTAAAAATAAAAAATAAAAAAAATGGAGTTTTTGTTCCAATCAGATTTTTTTTTCTGCCCTATGCTTGAAAGTCTTTCTTCGATGGAATTGTCCAGTAACGATCTAAAAGTGATCAAAGGGGAGATTGAATGGTGGAATTCATTAAAGTAGCTTGAATCTGATTGGAGCAGCAAACAGAAAGATTATATGGCTAATGTCTTTGTTGAACTAAGAAGGGATGCGAGTTCGATGGATAAATTAACAGAAAGTGGAAATTCAATGTAAGGAAAGATTTGAAGCTGTCATAATGGTCAGTTGAAAGACCCTCATGCAAAAAGATCAAAACAGTCTTATGAAGCCAAGCACCAATTGTACAAGGGGCTGCTACTAATACAAATAAAATAAAAGGTAGCAGGCTTTAAAAAAAATTAAAAAATAAATAAAAAGTATGTTTATATTTTTTTTTAGCAAAATCTGCTAAATAAACACATATATGCTGTTACACAAAAGGGTGTAGCAGGTTTTTCTTTTTTTTAAACAAGAAAGGTCTTTGTTTGGGCTCACAAAAAAAATGGGCAGCAACAGAAAAAAAATAATAATAATAATTTAAAAAAATCTGCTTACTTGATTCTACTCTGAGTTAAATATATATATATATATATATTGTTGCTTAAAATCCTGCTAAAGTGAGTAAAAAAAAAGAGAACTAGATAGTTTGCTGCTTTAAAAAATATATGGTAGTAGCAGCAGAGAAGAAAAAAAAGATGCTATGGATAGAAGGCATATTGCATAGCTTCGTAAGAGAACTTGTTCTTTCTTGAAGAAAAGAAATCTTATGCCTTAAAAACATGCAGAGATAGAAGTTTTGTTAGGCTAAGGGATGCCACTGCATGCACAATTTATGAGCGTGACATCCATGAAGTTGGTATGGGTGTTAAAACTTTCTTATGGCAGCAGCAAAAAAAAAAAAACTGGCAGCAGTAAAAACAAGGGGTGAAAAGAAAGCAACAAATATTATGATAAAAGTATACCTGATTAAAAGGAATTTGAAGGAATTCTTTTGTGCCTTCTTTTGGGAAAAGAAGAAAGACAATGGCCAGACAACTTTTGAAGGATGAAGACCTAATATGCACTACAAAATTTGCAGAATGAAAAAAAAAAGGGGCTACTGAAAAATCGCTGGAAACAAAAAAATTCTGCTGGAAGAACAAAGTTGTAGGAGGAAAAATATCTATTGTCCACATGCATGGATAGGTATTATATAAGCAAAAAAATTCTTGCTTAAGAAAGGAGGTAGTGGTCTCCTAAAATACTTCAAAGAAGCAAGAGTTTAGGTAGGATTTGAAATACTCTATAGAAGTAAGAGTTTGTGTAGGATTAGAAATCCTACCAATGCCAATCCATCCTATTCCATTTAGACAAACTCCTAATATATATATATATATATATATATATATCTCCTAAAAATAAAAATAAAAATAAAAATAAGTGGCAAGTTGGAGGCTCACAAAAGAAAAAGCCCAATTTAAAAAAAAATGGTGGCCTAGAAAAGGAAAGTTCCATGATGGCCTAGAAAAATCCATGATGGCCTAGAAAAAATTTGCTGTAAAAAAAAGTGGCAAATTGGAGGCCCACAAAAGAAAAGACCCATTTAAAAAAATGGTGGTTTAGAAAAGGAAAGGTCCATGATGGCCTAGAAAAAAAATCTGTTGTAAAAAAAATGGTGGCAAGTTGGAGGCCCACAAAAGAAAAGGCCCAATTAAAAAATGGTGGCCTAGAAAAGGAAAGGTCCATGATGGCCTAGAAAAAAATCTACTGTAAAAAAAATGGTGGCAAGTTGGAGGCCCACAAAAGAAAAGGCCCAATTAAAAAATGGTGGCCTAGAAAAGGAAAGGTCCATGATGGCCTAGAAAAAAATCTACTGTAAAAAAAATGGTGGCAAGTTGGAGGCCCACAAAGGAAATGTCCAATTAAATCTTTAGACCTTACCCATGACCCAAAAAAAAAAAAAAAAAAAAAAGGCCGAAATCCATAAAAAAGGGGCCCATGCCCTAAAAATAAAAAATAAAATAATAATAATAACAATAATAATAATAATAAAAGGCCTATGGACTATAAGGAGCAATCAACCCAATAAAAAAAATACAAAGCCTGAAAAGTGGCAGAAAGGGACCAAGGCCAAGAAATAATTCCATCCAAGACCTAAAGAGCATCCAGATAAAAGTGCCAAATTGTCGTGACTCGCACAGTTAAGAAAATTCACTTGTCCAAGTCACGAGGGACATTTGTTGGCACATAAATTTTAACTAAAATTATGACACATATAGAGCCTATGATAGGAAAGTTGTAGGTAATCACTTCCTAAAAAAATCAATATGATCCGTTGAAGTGCATAAATAAAACGATGTTGTATCTCAACGACGTTATTCAAGATGCTCAAGTGACATATGGAGCCTACGAAAGATGACACCTGTAGAGCCAACAGCAAGGACACCACACAGGATGAAACTCTAAAGATCAATCAGATTAATCAGATATACGATTAATCAGATAGCACTATTATTCAAAATTCAAATGGCGCCATCATTCAATTTGAAATTCAAATTGAAGATGAGGCATTCCTATCACCTGATGGCCCTCTATAAATATGAGGACCATCACACAAGACGGAGGATCAGAAAATCAGAAGTGAAAAGATCAGAGAGAGAGAAAGAAATTGAGAGTTAAAGAAGTCATTACAAGAAAGAAAAAGAGAAGCCTAGAGAACTCAAGAGCCTACACTAATGGCGATGAATAGGTAAAAGGTTCCAAACCCAAGAATTGTATTTTATATTCGAGGGTTCAAAGTGCATAACAATTTCAATAAAATATTTATTTTTCTTAAATTGCCTTTTGTTGTTGATTTTGTTCTTCATTAATCGGAGGTTTCATTTGTATAAAATGTGTAATTAACGATCTGAAATACAGATCAGAAATAAGAGCCTACTATTCAAATAATCAACACTGTTTAGTCCAAAAACTAAACAGTGGACTTTTGTAACATAAAATTTTGAGATGTGTTGAAACACTTCATGTTTTAAAATTTGTGTCTACAGTGACATAACATGGATGCGTTGACATGATAATTATTAGGAAACGAAGGATTTAACATGTGGAGCACACACAATATATAGTTTTATATAGGGCGAATTATACTAACGGTCTCTATAGTTTGAAGCTTGTGTTACTTTGATCCATGACATTTCAATTGTGATACATTTGACCTTGAGTTTTGAATCTTGTACCAAATGAGGACAATTGAAGACATTGTTGCTTCATTTCAAAGGCCAAGTCGTCAATTTGATAAAATTTGATAAATATAAACTAGTTTGACAAAAATAAATGTCAAAAAATTATTTTTAAACTTTTAAAAATTATTTCTATTCACCAAAGATAAAATTATATAAAAATGATAAATCTGTTATATTTTATTTTTTTATCAAATTAATTTTTAGTATGTGTTTGGATGATGATCATGTAATGGGTGGTTATTTTTGTTATTTTTTTGATGGTTATCAGGTAATAGATGGTTGTATTTGTTGTTAACATATATTTTTGGATGGTTATCGTGTAATAGATGGTTATTAGACTATTATTGTATAATTAACAAGTTTAATATATGAAATATTTTTAGTTTTTGATTTTTTTATTTAATGGATTGGTTTAATAATGACATCAAGGTTGTCGCCATGTCTGACTTTTGAAAAAATAAAAACTAATTTAACGAAAATAAATATCAAAAAAAAATTATTTAAAAAAATTATTTCTACTCTCCCAAAAGATAAAATTATATAAAAATGACGTATTTTTAATTTTTTTTTCACCAATTTAATTTTTAGTTTCTTAGAAATTTTCTCTAAAGATAGATTCTAAAAACTAAACCAAATAAAACTTTATAACAAAAAAAGTTCCAACATTATTCATTTTAAAAAAAAATCATTATATTTCAAATAACATATAACCAACACAAAATAAATTGTATGATGACTTTATCCTTAAAATAGAGCAATAATGTCTTCAATTATCTTTATTTAGAAGGGATTTAAAATTCAAAGTCAAATCTATCACAATTGAAAGGTTAGGAACAAAGTGACACAAGCCCCAAACCAAACTATAAAGACTGTTAGCATAATTCGCCCTTTTATATATTTATTAATGCCACATATATGAATATTTTATTCAAAGATAATAATAAAAAAGTATA